TTCCCTATTACTCATTTCTCTCCCCATCTCGAAATAGGGACAAAATGCTTTCTTAGAACACACTTTACTTGCAAACCAAACATGGAACAACATGTTGCAGCTACAGGATCAACTTAAACAAGCACCGAAGTGGCCCTACGCTCAGCACCCATCTACTGTGTAGCAGATAAGGTCAGAAAACAGATGCAGTTAAAAAAATAAACTAGTACCAACAAAGAAAAGTTTTATTCCAGACCAGTTCTAAGGGACTGCTGCTCTGGAGGTACTGCCAGCTTGTAGCTAGCAAGTTAAATTAAGTCATTACCATATCAGATGCTAGTGGTGCACAGAGGCTGTCTGTCTTCATAACTGCTAACAGTGTTCTGAGTTGTCAGTGTTTTCCATTCAATTCCATTCAATTTTCAGGACACCTCACAGAAGTAGGCTGCAAAGCAGGTAGACCATTTCACACATTGAAGAAAGGCTACAGTAACAGCAGGGACTGCATCTCAAAAGCCTTTCAGCTCAGGTCTACTTTAAGGTATTCCCTCTCACACTAAGTATCTTTCAAGAAGACCCCAGCATCTACCTTTAAAACAGAATAATATCCTTCCTCCAGGGCTTATGCCTCTTCTCTCAACTTTGGGGAAGGGGAGAGGAAGCCAGTTAACACAGACAACTATGAAGTCCTGAAAGAGTCAGAGATAAACCATTTGCTTAAAAGGTCAACGGCAATTTTGGAAGAAAAAGAAATCTAATGCAAGATAAATTCAAGGGCCAAAGGAGCAAAAGCATTAGCTTACATGATCTTACAGTGTTTGTTATTGTAGTGTGGCTGATTAATAGTTATCACACAGTGAAAAAAAATAAAAATAAAAATCAGTGAAGTGCTGCTGCGCACAGCAGAATACTTCCATCTATTTCAGATGATCTGGACAACCATGTGCTCTAACTTACAGAGACTGTTACTGCTTTCTCCCAGTTCCAACTCCCTTAAAATTTTTCCTTCCAATATATACTCTTCTCAGTCCTGTCCTTCCACTAGCTTCCTATCCCCAGCTCCATACCTTCTGATGCTTCAAGAATCAAATTTCCAGCACACCCCTCTTCTCAAATATAATTCCATTCTCCTCGTCCAATGTTCAAACCAACTCCTTCTGCAACGAGCCCCGAAGTCTTGTCTTACTGGTGGTCTGCTCTACATGTCCATCACACCACTGTCTACCACCTTCCTGCCTCTGTCTCAAGATAGTTCATGTTCAGATCCATGTCAGAAGCACATCCCCTGTAATGGAGGCTGTAGCACTCCCGAACAGCAAAACCCCAGCTTTCACTCACTCTTTGGTGATGCAGCAGTTTTGCTCTGTCATTCTGCCATGCAGGGAGGAACACCCTCAGCCAGAAGTGGATGTGCTGCTCACTTTCAGCCTCTTTTCTTCCTCCCCAGTGGAGAGGACAGGCTAACCAGACAAGGCTGCGAGCGCGGAGGAAAAGGAGGAGGAAAGAACCAAAGGAGATGTAAAGTTGGCCTATGTATTAGAGAAATGGGTCAGGGTACCACTGAGATGTTGCTGCCACAGTGTTACTTTTTTTTTTTCTACCTCTCCTCAAAGTGTGGTCACATACAGGAACAGATTGCCAAGAAAGGTTATGGACTCTCCATTCTTGCAGGCGTTCAAGACTCAACTTGACACAGCCCTGGGCAGCCTGGTCTCAACAGACCTGCAATGACTGGGGCTGAACTAGTTAACTTCTGGAGGTTCCTTCTAACCTGAAGTGTTCTGTGGTATGTAATCATTTTGATATTTCACACATTTAAAACAGTATCACCAAGCTGCTGGTACATCATCCGTCCTGCAAATCTAGCCTCCTATCACACTTTTATTCATTTACCTGGCTTTTTTGAAACCAGTCTTTTTTCACCAAATTCCCTTACCTGAACTTTAGTCACTCTCTTCCCCCTCTTTTCTGCTGATTGGTGTATACACAGCTTTCTCCTCAACTTCCAGCAAATTTGCCTTCATTCTTTTTCCAATCCAAATTCCCTAATCCACCTCATTGCTTTTATTTCTGTGCATTTGCATCACTAAGCTTTTTCTTTAAACCTCTTGTCTGCCAGGAATTTTGTCAGCAAGAACCTGGGAAAGAAAGATTTCCTTCACCCACTTCAAGTATTGCACCTCATTAGTCAAAAAGCAGCTGAAATCACTTTTAGGAAAATACATGAGACCTTGGGTGGGGCCTTGGATGGCTGCTCAACAAGATTGGTGCACGTGTATTCTACTTAATCTCAAGAGCTGTCCTACAGAAAAGCAGCAAGCCAAAAAGCAGCAAGCAGGCTTAGTCATGAGGTGCTCACTGAAGTGAAAACTTGAGACTTGACTTTCTGAAGTCTTGCAAATCTTCACAGATGATACATAAGTTACAATTTTCAAAGGCACGTTAATGACAACATTCTGGAAGACTTTCACAAGGACAGTAATGCAAACTGCATTCCTGAAGTGATCAGTCACCAAAACACTCCTATGGTATTCATGCAAAGAAAATCTTACCATCCTTTAACAGGGTTAAGATACTTCCCATAAAAAATTCAGCCTGAGACAGAA